AATGGTTGAACTAACTTACATTCCCACCACCAGTGTAAAAGCATTCCTATTTCTCCATAGCCTTGCCAGCATGTGTTATTTCTTGGCCTTTTAATAATCATTATTTTGACTGGTGCAAGATAGTATCTCATTGAGGCTTGGATTTGCATTTCTCTAATGATCAGTGATGTTGAGGTCTTACATATGTTTCTTGGCCACATAAATCTCTTCTTTTGAGAAGTGTCTGTTCATGTCCTATGATCACATTTTAACGGTGTTATTTGTCTTATAAATTTGTTTAAGTTCCTGTGGCTTCTGGATATTAGACCTTTGTCAGATGGGTAGATTGCAAAAATTTTTCCCCATTCTGTAGGTTGTCTGTTCATGCTGATGATAGTTTCTTTTGTTATACAGAAACTCTTTAGTTTAATTAGATCCCATTTGTCAATTTTTCCTTTTGTTGGCATTGCTTTTGATATTTTTGTCATGAAAATTTTTTTTATGTACCTAAGTCCTGAGTGGCATTGCATAGATTTTCTTCAAGGGTTTTTATAGATTTGGGCTTTACATTTAAATCTTTAATCCATCTTGAGTTAATTTTCATATAAGGTTTAAGTAAGCAGTCCAGTTTCAATTTTCTACATATGGCTAGCCAGTTTTTCCAGCACCAGTTATTAAATAGGGAGTCCTTTCCCACTGCTTGTTTTTGCCAGGTTTGTTAAATATTAGATAGTTGTAGATGTGTGGTATTATTTCTGAGATCTCTATTCTGTTTTATTGGTCTATGTGTCTCTTTTGGTTACTGTAATCTTGTAGTATCATTTGAAATTGGGTAGTGTGATGTCTCCAGCTTTGTTCTTTTTGCTTAGGATTGTCTTGGATATACAGGATCTTTTTTGATACCATATGAATTTTAAAGTAGTTTTTTTTCTACTTCTTTGAAGAATGTCAAGGGTAGTTTAATGGGAATCACATTGAATCTATAAATTACTTTGGGCAATATGACCATTTTCATGGTATTGATTCTTCCTATCCATGAACATGGAATGTTTCTCCATTTATTTGTGTCCTCTACTATTTCCTTGAGCAGTGGTTTGTAGTTTTCCTTGAAAAGGACCTTCACATTGCTTGTTAGTTGTATTCCTAGGTATTTTATTCTCTTTGTAGCAATTATGAATGAGCGTTCATTCATGATTTGGCTCTCTGCTTGTCTATTGTTGGTGTATAGGAATGCTTGTGATTTTTGCACATTGATTTGTATCCTGAGACTGCTGAAGCTGCTTATAAGCTTAAGAAGTTTTGGGGCTGAGACAATGGGGTTTTCTAGGTATAGGATCAGGTTGTCTGCAAACAGAGACAAGTTGACTTTCTCTTCTCCTATTTGAATACCTTTATTTTTTTTTCTTACCTGACCACCCTGGCCAGAACTTCAATACTATTCCTATTGAGTGGGGAAAGAGGGCATCCTTGTCTTAAGCTGGTTTTCAAAGGGAATGCATCTAGCTTTTTCCCATTCAGTATCATATTGGCTGTAGTCTGTCATAAATGGCTCTTATTAGTTTGAAATATGTTCCATCAATACCTAGCTTTTGAGAGTTTTTAACATGAAAGGATGTTAAATTTAATTGAAGGCCTTTTCCATATCTATTGAAATAATCATGGTTTTTGTCTTTAGTTCTGTGTGATGAAATACACAGAACTTTTATTAATTTGTGTATGTTGAACCAGCCTTGCATCCCAAGAATGAAGCCAACTTGACTGTGGTGGATAAGCTTTCTGATGTGCTGCTGGAAGTGGTTTGACAGTATTTTATTAAGAATTTTTGCATCAATGTTCATCAGGGATATTGGCCTGAAGTTTTCTTTTGGTGTTGTTGCTGCATCTCTGCCAGGTTTTGGCATCAGGATGACGCTGGCCTCATAAAATTTAGTTAAAGTTGACTCCCTCCTTTTCAATTGTTTTGAATGGTTTCAGAAGAAATGTTACTAGCTCCTCTTTGTACGTCTGGTAGAATCTGTCTGGTCCTGGGCTTTTTTTGGTTGGTAGGCTATTCAATCCTGCCACATTTTCAGAATTTGTTATTGGTCTATTCAGGGATTTGGTGTCTTCCTGGTTTAGTCTTGGGAGGGTGTATGTGTCTAGGAATTTATCCATATCTTCTAGATTTTCTAGTTTACTTGCTTGGAGGTGTTTATAGTATTTTCTGATGGTTGTTTGTATTTCCATAGTGTCAGTGGTGATATTGCCTTTATCATTTTTTATTGTGTGTATTTGATTCTTCCCTTTTCTTTATCAATATAGCTAGCAGTCTATTAATATTTGCAACAAAATATTTCCTAGATTCATTGAATTTTGAAGGGTTTTTCATGTCTCTATCTCATTCAGTTCAGCTCTGATCTTAATTACTTCTTGTTTTCTGCTAGCTTTTGGATTTCTTTGCTTTTGCTTTTCTAGTTCTTTTAGATATAATGTTAGGGTATTGATTTGAGATCTTATAGCTTTTTGATGTAGGAATTTAGTGCTATAAATTTCTCTGTTAACACTGCTTTAGCTGGGACCCAGACACGCCAAGGCCACTAAGGACTGGAGTGAACCCCCAGCAAATCACAGCAGCTCTAAGGTAGAGTGGACTGACTGTTAGAAAAACAAATGAACAAACAGAAAACAACAACAACACAAAAGATCCGACAAAAACCCCAATCAAAGGTCAGCAACCTCATAGAAAGTAGATAAGCCACAAAGTTGAGAAAAAAACACTGAAAACACAAAAAGCTAGAATGTCTTCTCTCCCCCAAATTACCTCAACACCTTCCAGCAAAGGCACAGAACTAGGCTGAGGCTAAAATGGCTGAATTGACAGAAGTAGGCTTCAGAAGGTGGATAATAATGAACTTTGCGGAGCTAAAAGAGAATGTTGCAACTTGATTGAAAATCCTAGCCTGTTATTTTGTGGCTATAAATGAACTACTTCTAAAGTTTAAACGAAGAGGCAAAGCCCAGAATAGCCAATGCAATATTGAAGAAGAATAAAGTTGCAAGACCGACACTATCTGACTTCAAGACTCACTATAAATCCTCAGTAACCCAAACAGCGTGGTATTGGCAAAAGGACAGACAAACAGATCAAGGAAACAGAACAGAGAGTACAGAAATAGACCTACATAAATATAGTCAATTGACCTTTGACAGTGGAATACTAGTCTATTCAACAAATGGTGCTGAAACAACTGAACACCCACATGTAAAAACAATGACAAAAAAAGAAATTAGACAGAGACCTACATTTTTCACAAAAATTAATTGGAAGTGTATCCCAAATGTACAAAACGAAAACATATAAAACTCCTGGAAGATAACAGAAGAGAAAATCTAGATGACTGAGGGTTTGGCAGTGCCTCTTTAGATGCCAAGCCAAAGGCACAAACTATGAAAGAAAGAATTGACAAGCTGTACTTCATTAGAATTAAAATATTCCACCTCACACACACACACATAAAACACTGTCAGGAGAATAAGAAGAAAAGCCACAGGCTGGAAGAAAATATTGGCAAAGGACATATCTGATAAAAGACTGTTATCCAAAATATACAGAGAACTCTTAAAACAATAAGAAAATGAACAACCCAATTTAAAAACTGACCAAAGCTCTAGACTAACACCCCACCCAAGAAGACATAGAGATGACAAATTCACATATGAAAAGATGTTCTACATCGCATATCAGCAGGGAAGTAAACAGCAATGAGATACTACACACCTGTCAGAATGGCCAAAATCCAGAGGACTGATGGTACCAAATGCTGGTGAGGATGTAACAGAAAGTCTCATTTAAAGCTGGTGGGAATGCAAAATGGTACAGCCACTTCAAAAGACAGCTTGATGGTTTTTTATAAAACCAAACATACTCTCACCATACAATCCAGCAATCACACTCCTTGGTATTTATGCAAAGGAGTTAAAAACTTATGTCCAAACAAAACCTGCACAATGTTCTTTATAAGTAGCTTTATTAGTAATTGTCATAAGTTGGAAGCAACCGAGATGTCCTTCAATAGGTTAATAAATACATTGAACATCTAGACAATGGAATATTACTCAGCTTTATAAAAAAGAGAGCTTTTGAAGCCATGAAAATACATGAAGGGAACTTAAAAGCATATTCTTTTTTTTAAATTGTATTTTAGGTTTTGGGGTACATGTGCAGAACATGCAAGATAGTTGCATAGGTACACACATGGCAGTGTGTTTTGCTGCCTTCCTCCCCTTCACCCACATTTGGCATTTCTCCCCAGGCTATCCCTCCCCAGCTCCCCCCCAGCTGTCCCTCCCCTATTCCCCCCAATAGATCCCAGTGTGTAGTACTCCCTTCCCTGTGTCCATGTGTTCTCATTTTTCATCACCCGCCTGTGAGTGAGAATATGCGGTATTTCATTTTCTGTTCTTGTGTCAGTTTGCATATTCTTAAGTGAAGAAGCCAGCTGAAAGGACTACACTCAGTGTGATTCTAACTAAATGACATTGAAAAAGAGTCAAACCTATGAAGATAGTAGAATAATCAGTGGTTGCCAGGGTTTAAGGGATTGTGGTGAATATTGGAGTACAGAGTTTTAGCGCACTGAAGCTACTGCACCATGTCAAGAGTGAGCCCTAATGTAAAACCTATCAACTTTGAGTAATAATGATGTGTCAGTACGTTCATCAGTTGTGACAAATTTACCACTCAAGGGACCAGAATGGGGAGTGATATTGATAATTAGGGAGGCTATGCATGTATCAGGGCAAGAGATACAATATATGGAAAATTCCTGGACTTTCAATTTTGCTGTAACATAAACCTGCTCTAAAAAAATGGTCTGCTTTTTTTAGAGCAGTCCAGAAAAGAAGAGTAGACTGGGAAGGGTTTGAGAGGATCTTCTGTGATGCCAGTGATGTAATCTTTTTGAACTGTGTTTGTTTACTCTGTGTAAATCTATTAAAGTGTATACTCATGAAAACAACAACAACAACAACAACAGTAGAAATCCATTTTAGCCCTTAGGAATTCATTGTATTTTTGGCTGTGTCTGACTTCCATTGACATTTATGTACATTCAGACAAAAGACATGCCCTTAATTTGGTCCAATGTGGGAAATTATGTTTTGATGAGCATGCAGTAGCAGCATTGAATGGTCCTTAAGAAAATGTAGTATAGATTTCAGTTTGAAAATTTAACATAAACATGTTTCATTTTCATTTTAATTTAATAAGCAATACAGATTTTTTCTTACATATTATAGAAATATATATGCATGTACTTTCTAAGAAACAGCACAGACCTGCAATAAAAATTAGTGAGCAGTAAGAAATATTAACTAAAATACAGTAAGAATAGAGTACAGAGGAACATGGACTGGGCTAAGCTGCATAATTCAGACAAAAGAGATATTCTGATTTTATTGCATCCTTCCCACCAAACTTTCTGCAAAGCAGAATAAATAAAGCTCAGCAGATAGAAGCACTTATGATCAAGGTAAATGTTGAAAACTAAGTAGCACCTTTGGTCATTAAAATGATTGTCAACATCTCCAGGAAGCTTAAATAGAGCATTTCTGATTTTGAAAAGAAAATAAAACTAATTAATATACACCTTAAAGTTTAGCTGCTGCATATTTCAATATTGCATAGAATGTTTGACTGACAATAAAAAGGATTCAAAACAGAGTTTCAAATTTAAATAAAGAAAATGCTACAGGTGTTTTGTTTTCTATGTCTTAGTTTGAAAATTAGCTACAGAATTACTCTCATATACATTCAGCCTGCATCATAGAATAATGTAGTAGCATTTTAATAATCTACATCCATCAACTCATTTCAATAAAGGAACACTCTATGCCTGGCACTTTGCTAGGTATTAAAGTCGTTATTATAATTAAAATAACATCCTTGTCCACAGGAAGCTCACAGTCTATAAAAGAAAGATGAATTATATTCAAAACTGCAGGCAAAATATGTCCTCTCAAAGAGAAATTCACATTGGTTTCAAATTTGTTATGCAGTGAAAATGAGAAACTACAAGAGATTATTCTAAAACATATGTCCACATAACATGTAGTATACCTGAAAGGCAAAAACTTAAACAAGTGTGCTTAAAAACGAAGTAGAAACAATTGAACTACATACTTTAAAAATGATCAACAACATAATATCTTCCTGACTTAAATAAATCTATGTTATTTTATTTAGTTTAAACAAAATATGTATCCATATGAAAATGCCAGGTCTTTCATTTTTGGTTCTTTTACACATATTATTTGCTAACTTCAGAACCGCTATATATACAAAAATTTCTAAAATAAATATCCCAAGATCACATAACAATCACTCTAAGTACATTCATGTGTAAGAAGGCAAAAAAGAAGAGTCTATCTTATATTTGAAAACTTTGACAGATCTTTAAACGTATTATTTTATATTTTATTAATTTTCTTAAAAAATGAAATAATACAGCCATAATTTAGGTGATGTAAAAACAACTGCTTGGATCACCTTAGGTATCAAGTAAAACTATCCTCTTTATTTCACTATCATAGTAACCACAGTTGGTAGACCAAGTGGCAATATAATCATTTGTTCAGTGGTCATTAAGATAGCTATAGAATAAACAAGACAACTATATTTTATATTTTTCATTTAAAAATCACAAAATACAGCCTAAAATATAATTTACATTTTAAAAATAATTCTAAAGATTAACCCTAAATCTAATCCCTTAAAAAATTCTTGCAAATGTTAGCTGGATATGGCTGTTGCCAAAGAATGTCTTAGTAGCAACAAATTCTTATGTATAACTTTTACTCCAACAATCTTATTTTAAATGTTCTTTTCAGTTTAATACTGGATGAGAAAAACATATTTGTTCAAATAATATAAGTAGTAAGTAAAATGATTTCAAAATAACAAAATAAATTATTCATTCTAGGAAATAATTAACATGCTAGTTTAAAATATATGGGAGAAGAACTCTTACATAAAAAGCTTCAAATTTTGTCAATTTTAGCAAAAACCTGAAAAGACCCTGCTCTTTCGTCTGCAATATAGGAAATTACTCCATTTGAGTCATATTTGATTGGTACAATCTTGTTTTTGTCACTACAAGGAAGGGTCCTCATATTAGTAAATGCATGCACTGCAACTACTGAGGCCTGCTTCCTGTCAGAATGACAATGCAATCTTCATGTATGGGTGTCAGTTTAGCTGAATCTAACCAAACACATCACTTACTACAGACGTTTTTAGGACCAGTTCATGAAAAATTTTACTGTGATACACAATTTTATCCAATTTTTTAAAAATGTGTTTTTATGGTAAATATCTTGATGAACTCATCTTGATGAACGAAGCAAACAAATACTGAATGCGGATTACTGTTTTTACAGCTTTACAGGGAAAACTCCTAACAGCAACTCCTCTTCCCTTTCACCAGGGATCTTTAATTTAGGTGTAATTTTTGTTTATTCCCTGCAAGGGAATAAAGGAGAAAATCAAGAAAGACTCTATCTATCTAGGTAAGATGCAGAGGGAGGTAGATGGTATCTCTAACGTAAAAGAAGCTCTGGTGACACTGTTGCCAAACAGCTGTTGTGGATTTCAGTATTGTTTAATTAAATGTAAAAAACATTCACAAAATAAGAAATTTTGGAGATAGATCTTATTCTAATAATTTCATTAACACATCTTCAGGTTATTAGATCAAGACATACTGTAGAGGTACTCTCCGCAAGATTATGCAACGGCAACATTTTCTTGCATACACTTTAATAATTTAACAAACTTGTACTGTGTGTTCTGTGCTCTCGCATTCTACTTTAGAAAACAAACGAATACTGCTTCTAAAATAAAAAAGAACATAAACTGAAACAAGAATTAATGAGATATTGACACCCTTTCTGTTAATACAATATTGGTATGTTTTAAGTGATTTTGATATTGCTATAACAACATATGATGTGCAAAATAATTAATCTCACTAATTATGATTTCTTATTTGTCAAGAATTACCTGCTGTGGCAATCAGGAAATAGTCTTCAAATTTAGTTTGCAAACATGAGTTTGCAAGACATGATTGGAAAAAATATATTCATTTGGGATATAAACTATTTATCAAGTAGGGTTGTTATGTGTATTTCTAGGAAAATACTTTATTCACTCTATAAAGGTCATTATTATGACCTTACGGCTTCTGTAGTGCAATGAAGAAAAAAAAATTAGAAGTCAAAAGACCTGAATTCTATCCCCAACGCTGCATTTACTCAAGAGTATTAGTGTAAGTTTGGTAAAATCCTTAATCTGGTCTAGTTTTTTATAGTAAAAATGTGGCTACCTAACAAAACTGAGGGTTGAGAGGATAAGATGAATTAATTAAATTCATCATCTGAGACAAAATATCAAAACAAGTCAAAATACAATTCGATTTAATGCTTAGAAATAAATATTTTAATTCATATGTGCTATTTTACTAAATGTAGAAATATTAATACTTTAGTTAGATTTAGAAAGTTGATGGTAGAAAAATAAAATCCATTGAACCATTGAACAGCTTGTCAGAAATGTGTACTCCTGAGAATTTGAGGATGAAAAAACAATGTCTACTCTAACGAGCAAGTTATATAAACTGAGTCTAACTCAAAAAACTTATTTTAGATGTATATGAAAATTAAAAAAAACTAGAATGTCTTAGTCAAAAGAATGTTTTAAAATTTCATCCTAAATTTACGTGAGATAAAAATGCCATTTTGTTTTTCTGAAGAGAGGAGCTTTATATCAACTTATTCTATTTTAATAGAATGTTCAGTATCTAGTAACAGAGATTCTCTAGCTTATTTTGCTACATTTAAATAAAAAAAGAAACAAAAAGTCCTGTTTGATCATGTGAAAAATATTTGCTGAAATGTGAATAAATTTATAATCATTAAATAATTGCCTATTGAAATATCCCTGAATATTGCTCACCTTATTAACAAGTATATATGAAGACTGAAAGCATGTAGCTCATGCAAACAGTGTAAATGTAACCAAATACACCAAAGAAACAAAAAGCCATACTAAAAGTGTCCACAGTTACATGGAAAATGTTAAAAAGTTTATCTCTAATTATAAAAACACAGAAAGAAAAACATTTAAAAAATAATTATAGAAAAAAAGGGGGAGATGGTAAAGAAGCAAATCTGCACATGTACCCCAGAACTTAAAGTAAATATATATATATATATACATATATAGTATGTATATATATATATATATATATATATATATATATATATATATATACGTATATATATGAAGAAGGAAATTGGGATGGAAAAATTAATTTGATATAAATTCCCATATACTCTTGTAAAATCAAAAATTCATTTTGTAATATTAATTTTGCTCTTAAAGTAGAGACTTTTTAAATGACAATTCTCAATACTACAGCAATTCTTTTATGATTGGCACAGAAATGAATTAAAGTGAAGAAAAAGCAGTAGGAGAGAGAAGACTAAAATAAACCGGATTGTAGCACCCTGCAAAGAGCTGAAATCTCCAGTGCACAAACAACCGATAGGAAAGAAGAGAAAATCATAACTATAAAAAATGACATAAGCTCAGAAAATTATTCATTGTTAATTGTATCAACAAGGATAATTTATAATTTTGATTATGTGAGCATTATAATTACTGATAATTGGGCCTGTGATGAGATCATGCATATGGTTGTGCAGAAATCAAACTCTTAGAGACAGATGGGTAAACTTGAGTTTTTATATATGATATTCATCTTTCTTTCTTTCTTTTTTTTTTTTTTTGAGACTGAGTCTCACTCTGTCACCCAGGCTGGAGTGTAGTGGCACTATCTCAGCTCACTGCAACATCTGCCTCCTAGGTTCAAGCAATCTCCTGCTTCAGCCTCCTAAGTAGCTGGGACTACAGGTGCATGCTACCATGCCTGGCTAACTTTTGTATTTTTAGTAGAGACAGGGTCTCACCATGTGGACCAGGATGATGTCAATCTCCTGATCCACCCGCCTTGACCTCCCAAAGTGCTGGGATTAAAGCCCTGAGCCACTGTGCCTTCCCTGTAATATTAGTTTTTATTCTCAATACTTTTGATGCTGATTGGTGCGCTGAATGGTTATGGTTAAAAATCTTGTTGCTATGATGTATCAGTGATGTCCTTGCATTGATAGAGAGTAATACATAATGGTGCAATGCTGTGATGGTATGCTTTGTTACTCAATGTTGTCAGGCACTTTGAGAAAATTAAAAACATTCAGGATAGTGCCAAAGAAGATTAGCTTTTTAAAACTCTAAAATCACATTCAATTAAATGTGTATATAATTATAAACATGAGCATCATGGTTGACTATGAAGAATGCAGTGCCTTGTGAGTGCACTATTTGAATAGAGGTAAGGAGAACTACATTCTAATTAGGGACTTGAAAAGTCTAGGTGGAGAAGACAAAAGCAATGATTCTTGTTTACTCCATGGAACAAATGGACAAAGAGGAGAATGACAACACAGATGTTCAGAGAAACTTGAAATATAAGTTAGAATGTAGCATAAGTTGTATAAAATGATGAAAATTAATATGTAACAATATAGATAAACCAAATCATTTGTATCTTATAATGTGTTTTGGTAGCTAGGGATAATATTATAAATGGAATAACCCCTAAAATTCTAAATATAATGTTCTCTAGTAAGTACATATTACTTTATTTATTTTTTTTAGTAGAGACAGAGTCTCATTCTGTTTCCTAGGCTGGAGCGCAAGTGAGGCCATTATAGCTCACTGAAGCGTCAAATTCCTGGGCTCAAATGACCCTCTCACCTCAGCCTCCCAAGAAGCTAAGACTACAGGTGCACACCACCGTATCCAGCTAATTATTTTACTTTTTGGGTCATGATATGTAGCAACCAATCTGGGAATTATTTATTCATCAAAGATAACATTTTCCTCCTAAATCTAACCTCAGAAAAAATGTATTATGTTATTTTTATGAGAAAAAGAGTCATATTAAAGTAGTCATGTCTATACATAATCATTATCATTATCAATATTTGAGATAATTTGCATTGGGGAGAAAAGCGGGCAATTAGAAATTACATATTCAGGTTCTAGTAAATGCAATTCTCTAGTAAACAATGAATAAGTCATAATACAAATTACAGTTAAACCTAATTGTTTTACTGTATAAGATGTACTTTTTTTGTACCTATATTTTATTTACCTTTACTTCTCTGGCCTCTATCGGGAGGCAGCATGGTAGTGAACACTCTAGGGGTTCTTTCTGGTTTTAGGTAACCCTGAGTTTTAATTTTGGTTCATATTACCTTTTAACTTCAGTTTGGTGAGCTTCTGTGATTTTGGTTTTCACTCATCTATCATATCAAGCTAGTAATAATTCTGCCATGGTTTGGCCTAAATATTGAAAGGCATCACATAAACAAAATGCATGACACATAAATATTAGTTCCTTTCCACTAAGTATCCTATCTCCCTATTAAATTGAGCCTAAAATGATTTTTTCTTTTGTTTTAATAAAAGTGTTCAACATTCTATATATGAAAGGGATTTTTAACGGTGTTTTAAGTGAAAAATAAGTTTCAACTAACTGATCAAGAATCTCTCTTCATATTTATGTCATCTACATCAAAACTTACATTTATATCATCCTTTAGTCTTCTTTTCTACATTTTTGATTGTCATGTTGCACAGCCAGAACAGAATGAGTACAAAAGATCTAGACTTTTTAAAGTGCACATTCAAATATACCAACTTTAATTATTTTACTTATTCCTTAGTATTAGGCAGAGGCCAATGAGTCCATGAGCTAAGGTGTTGGAAATTGGTACCAAAAAAAGTGATATTTATGAGTCATGTAGATTTATACTGAGAAAACATCATGTCTTCCAATGTGAAATACACTAAAACCTGATCTGTTGTCTCTTAAGGTGTGCTAAGTGAACTCAAAAAGGATCAGGAAAGGAGGCGAGAATAGGTCAGAAAAAGAGCAAGTCCAATGTTCTCTTCATAAATTAGTGATGGCATATTTAAAGTTAAGTAACGAAAAATATGGGGTGCTCAGTTAACATGAATGAAAGAATACTGAAAAGTTGCTATGAGTTATTTGGATACCTTGATTAATGATACCCTTCCTTTTGTACAATCTCATAATGGGGGAATAGAGATTAGTGAGGATTTTAATGGTATACTCTGACTTTGCTTCATGATATCTCAAACATTGAAAACCTGTTTTTCTCTAGGGGAAGAAATACTTTCAGCACTAATTGTTGCAGACACAGAAGCCAAATATATCTCCTCCTCCATTTATGTGTCTATATAATAATGAAAATCCTAGGTTGATACTCTTTTCTCAATCTTGCAAAGATTTTCCTAAAGCAGCAAATCTTCTAACAATTTGAAGAGGGTGGAGAGAGTGAATAAGTAAAATAATTTATATTACCCTGGACCAATTCTGAATACTGCAGGTATTTATGTCACTGTTTCAAGTGTGTTCTGGTTTAACTGTCAGTATTTAAGCATGAGAGTTAATATGTGTGCATATTTGTAACTCTGTGCAGTGCTACCGTCAGGTGAGATTGTACAGATCATATCGTGTGTTTGAATATGCAATTTTACCTTCTTTTCTAACAATTTAATACAATCAGTGTTAGAAATAGATGACTAATGAAGACAATCAAAGAGCAGCCAGACAAATGTGAATTGGTTTTCACGTGACAAGAAAATCATCAGTAAGCAAACAAACCTCCTTCCTGGAGAAGGCCACTGAAATGCATCCAGCAGGATGTCTCTACTAGAAGGTAATAAAAAAGAATATAATATAGCCTTTTACTTAAAACCCCATGAATATTACTTTGCCATTTATTTCCCGTGGGGATTTGATATTCATATTAGTTTAATATATCTTTTCAGAACACTTTTTGGAAAGTAAATTTTTTTTTTTTTGGAAACTTATGATTGGAGAAGTACTACACAATTTAGAGGTTACATTTCTTGACAAATCAGAGCTGAATAAAAAAGAACTAAAAATATAAACAAAGGTAATTCAAGAATCATGATAGGGTGAAACTAAATTAAAAACAGCCATAAAGTCCCACATTTTTCCTAATTTATTTACCTATGATCTTGGCACATCTTGTTTTACTTAACATTTGAAAAATACAAATATCTCTTCATATGCAAAAGAGCAAATGTTAAATGAAAAACTGAATTTTATATAGCTCCCTAAATATGAGCCACATGCTTAAGCAGTGAATAAACTTTATGAATCAAATCTTTGACATTAACTATTACAAAAGGCTGGTATCCAGGTGCAATCTCACAGGAAAAAACAGCACCTGCCTTTATTACAAGAAAAAAAAAAGAATGGCAAATTGCCTTTGACATCTTAAGGGTGACATTGTTTTAATTGTCAAGCACTAAATACTTCTTTTTAATTAATCATAATGTTAAACTTCAGATTTATAGAGGTAAATATCGTATTTATAGCTTTAGTCATAATGTACAATTTCTTTCTTGTTTAAATGTACTTTCTCATTCAAAATGGTATCTATAGTTTGAAAAGAATATGCCTCTGTATTCAGGAGTGATTCAGATTCCCAGATGTTTTCACACAGTTATGAAAGAGGGAAAGTGCTGAATTAACCTGGGCTGCACTATTTCAAACTTTTTGCTATCAGGTTATAAACTATACTTACAATTCCAAGTCACAAAGTGTCTCTATTTCTAGAAGATAAGTTTCCTGACTTTGTTATGTCCAAAGGCAGCAGGAAGTCTCATCAGAAGAGGGAAGAGTTTTCAAGTACTGCCATTCTTATCCTAGGAGGCATTTCCAGTGGTTGAGCACAAGGCCCACTTGTGGTTTGCTTTTGCTCTAGCATTTTGTGGAAGGGAGGGAGCTGAGAGAGCTTAGAGGATTCATTAAAACCACTTCTCAGTCTTAGCTGTAGTCAGATGGAGTACTCATAACAGTAACCTCTGATCACCACTATGTGTTGGGAAAAATTAGAATTCAGTCTACTTAGAATCTTGCCAACTAGGATTTTACTTTGATATTTCAATATAACAGCCAATCTGGATGGAGGCCTGGTTAAAAGAAAATACCTGATTATTACTTTCTGGATTATGAACTAAAATCCTTGTAAAATCAATGAATGTGGCTCATTGTTAAGAGTCATCATACTGTTACATATCAGGTAAGAATTCTGAAAATTATTTGAGGGTTCTGTTCTCTAGCACCAGGTACTAATGCCCCCTACTCAGAAAAACTCATCTGCATGGATTAAGTCTAACAGTGCTCAGATATAATGGTTTAACATTGATTTTCTTTTTTTGTCAAACATATATGCAAATATTTTTATAGCAGTCAGATGTATTTTTGAATAAGGATCACCCTCATTTTTACCCATGTATTTATCTTTAAAACCAACATTGTAAAGTAGCATGCAGATATGTTTCTTTTGTCTTCATGGATTTTTTTTTTACTTTAAAAATAAATTATCAAGATTTTTTAAAATTTGTTTTTTATTCTCCAGATATTTTGTGTACATGTGGGTAACCACGTGGGATTATGTGTGTTGGTGTGTAGGAAGAGAAAATTAATTTCTCTCAATTCTATTCATACCTTAATATCAAATAAAAAATGAAATGTATAAAGGATCACTTTGTAGGATTAGACATCCTCCTTCTAACTACTTAACCCAGGGGTTTGGGATTCAGAACTCTTCATGTAACCAAGACCGAAAGTCACTGGAAGACTTTAAAATTAGTATTTTAACCACCACACCGAGTCAGGTATGGAAATAAACCTATAGCATGGATTCTTTCTATGCATAATCTCAAAATTTAACTACCCAAATTAGTTTTTAAAAAGAACTTAAAATTTTCCATTGAGGAGAATATTATCTCCATCCTTAATTGTGACTCTTCATTTCAGCTAAAAACTTTTCCTGTACTTTAAAAACAAAATGGAAAACAAACTCCTAGGGCAAGTCATAAACACTGAAATCAGAGATGTGATTCTTGTTAAATATTAGTTTCTCTTTCTGAGGTTATACTCTGAGCATTTGAGACTTTGACATGAACATCTTCTGGATGTTTAGGTTTGCTCAAGGGTTCAGATTCTCTGGTCGTCTTTCTCGCATTTTCCTCCTTCCTTTCCTTTGCAAGCAATCTATAGTTGATAGCATTGCCAATCAGCAGCCACACGCTTGCTGCTACCACAATAGCCCCACAGGACATGTACATGTACTTATATTCACCAGTTACATCCACCAACATACCTAAGAGACAAAGAACATCTTTTAAGTTGGCATAATAAAACAGTCATATAATGATAGAAATTTCAAATAAATTATTCCTCAAAGTAGATTCCTCTTATTTAAATTAATGGCAAATAAGACTTTAAAAAATAAAAAAATTCTAGATTATGACTTCTATATATGCTTAGTAAAGGTATGTAGATGCACTTATAGTATTATAATACCAGTACATTAAGACCGGCATACATGTTAGGATTGCTTCATCCTTTTCATACTTCCTTTTTCCTTCAATAGAGAAAAATTACTTTCTTTAGGAAAGATCCAAAGACTTTTACATGATTCCTAACAGGGAATCATATAGTGCCTAGCACTAGCCTAAGCATTTTATCTGTAACATCTCACTTGATCCTTACAAGTGAATTGTGTATTGTGAAGTAATTTGGGCCTGGTTACATAACTAGGTAATGGTAGAATCTAGACTCCTAATGAGGTCTGTCTGCACTCATTCTTAACTACTCTGCAAAATGGCTTCACCTAACTTCTTGTTTAAGTGCCATGTCACTATGAGCTAATCCTAGTTTTTTAAATTATCAAGGGCAAACTTATCAGTAAAAGACTGTTCCAGAAAACCAAACACTGCATGTTCTCACTCATAAGTGGGTGTTGAACAATGAGAACATATGGACACAGGAAGGGGCCTTGGGGGTGGAGGGCTAGGAGAGGAATAGTAGAGGGTGGGAGGACTGCGGAGGGATAGCATTAGGAGAAACGCCTAATGTAGATGACGGGGCCATGGATGGAGCGAACCACCACCATAGCACGTGTATACCTATGTAGCAAACTTGCATGATCTGCACATGTACCCCGGAACTTAAAGTATAATAAATAAATCAACAAACAAACAAAACAAACGAATTGTTCCATTTGATAATTGAGACCATTTAAAATCTAGCCTGGTGCCATTAAATCTGAAGGTTTACTGACTTTTGTCAGCTTATATTTAGTTTTGTCTCTTGTTCATGCAGACATCTAATTCCTAATAATTATTAACAGCAAAATGTAATATATACAAATCTATATAAATTATCATATATATTACAAGTGATTCTGATGTACACCTTTCAAACCAGTCTGTTTAGTCAGAATCCAGAGCATTCTCCCTAGAATCTAGTCGTTGGCTCAGTATTAATGTTAGCTACTTGTAATATATTATCTATTTGAACAAAATTTACAGTTCTAATCAGGTAGTTGGCAGAATGGGTTTATTTAAGTAAGCATGACCTATCCATTAACATAACAAAAATTACATAATTTTAGTTTTCCTTCCTAATTCGAGTCAAATATTTCTGTCTGCAATGACTGTTATACTTCTTGGTGTGTGTGTGTGTGCATGTGTGTCTACTTTCATCATGCAAATATTGCAAGACCTAACAGAGAGCCATTAGTTACTTGAGGCGATTTGCCAGTCTACTGTACAGCATAAGTTCACATCTTAATGGTGACTTCTTGTCATTTGAGACTGTTTGAATAACATATCAAAGGAAGAGAATCTCAAATAAGTTGTCTAAATTTAGTAAAGAAACCTCTTCTCCCTGGTAGTTTTGCTTTGTATTTCTACTGGAGCACCACAGACATAAGAAAGAGCACTAAAAATTTCAAGTCTGATACTTTACTTTTTTTTTATTTGATAAATTATTTTTATTTTTATTTGTTTATTTTTATTTTACTTTAAGATCTGGGGTACATGTGCAGATCTTGCAGGGTTATTACATAGGTATACACATGTGATAGTTTGCTGCCTCCATCCCCCATCACCTACATTAGGTATTTCCCTTAATGTTATCCCTCCCCAATCTCCCCACCCCCTGCTATCTCTCCCCTAGCCCCCACTCCCCAACAGACCCCAGTGTGTGATGCTCCCTTCCCTGTGTCCACCTGTTCTTGTTCAACACCCACTTATGAGTGAGAACATGAGGTGTTTGGTTTTCTGTTTTGTGTCAGTTTGCTGAGAATGATAGCTTCCAGCTTCATCCATGTCCCTGCAAAGGACATGAACTCATCCTTTTTTATGGCTGCATCGTATTCTATGGTGTATATGTGCCACGTTTTCTTTATCCAGTCTATCTTTGATGAGCATTTGGGTTGGTTCCACATCTTTGCTATTGTAAACAGTGCCACAATGAACATACCTGTGTGTGTATGTTTATAATAGATGGATTTATAATTCTTTGGGTATATACCCAGTAATGGGATTGCTGGGTCAAATGGTATTTCTATTTCTAGGTCCTTGAGGAATTGGCACACTGTCTTCCACAGTGGTTGAATTAATTTACATTCCCACCAACAGTGTAAAAACGTTCCTATTTCTCCAGCATCTGTTGTTTCCAGACCTTTTAATGATCACCATTCTAAGTGGTGTGAGATGGTATATCAATGTGGTTCGGATTTGCATTTCTCTAATGACTAGTGATGATGAGCATTTTTTCATATGTTTGTTGGCCACATAAATGTCTACTTTTGAAAAATGTCTATTCATATTTTTTGCCCACTTTTTGATAGGGTTGTTTGTTTTTTTCTTGTAAATTTGTTTTAGTTCTTTGTAGATTCTGGATATTAGCCCTTTGTCAGATGGGTAGATTGCAAAAATGTTTATCCATTCTGTTGGTTGCCAGTTCACTCTAATGAGAGTTTCTTTTGCTGTGCAGAAGCTCTTTAGTTTAATTAGATCCTATTTGTCTATTTTGGCTTTTGTTGCCATTACTTTTGGTATTTTAGTCATGCAGTCCTTGCCTATGCCTATGTCCTGAATGGTATTGCCTAGGTTTTCTTCCAGAGTGTTTATGGTGTTAGGTCTTATGTTTAAATATTTAATCCATTTGGATTGTTATACTTCTAAATATAAAAGCATTAGGTCTATGGCCTATCAGAGTTAATATCACTTTGGGCTGCCACATCAGCATACTTTCTAAATGATTTAAGAATTTTTTAGCATCATCAAGAAACCGGAGTTCCTTTCCAGAACTAAAGCTTCAATTCTTTCTGAGAGGAGCAGTGAAAGTTCAGTCTGAAAAAACCAAATACAAAATAGAAACCACACACTCCCTACTTTTCAAGGCTGTCCTGCAACTGTGTAAGAAGTAACAGCAATAACATTCAATTAGTCAAAAATATTAACTTGGTTTCTACTATGGACCAGACAGTTTTAGCTGTAATCAAATACTATAGAGGAGAAGCCAATCTCCAACTCAAGGAACATTAGGGTAGCAGGTGGCAGACATGGAATGAAAAAATGGATTTATAATGGCTATAGTCTGACAGTTTCAACAATAGGTCAAAAATCAATTACTGCCATTTGCTACCAGTGGCACAAGGTTTGGCCATGCGAACACAACAGGTATTCAAAAATATTGAAACTTTAAAAAAAATATTAATGCACATATCTGCTCAGGTGGGAGGGGCCAAATAAGATTCCTTTATTTCAATTCTTAGAGTCTATCTGTATTTGGACTTGATTCTGTTTTCATCCCATCATGCATGGTGACATACAAACTTCTCTATTGACACTACTAATTGTGTGGATAATGAATAGGTTCCAAAAGCCCATTTGATCAGACTAATTCTGTATGAAAAGAAGAACCAATTGTGCTTATCTTATGTAACAAAATCAACTGGCTGATAAATAATTAGATGTACTGGCTTTCAATCTTTTTTGACAATTGTTTTGGTGTCATGGTATATTTATATTGAGAGACATATCATCTAAAACACCTGTGCTAGATACGACAGGACAGCCCTGGTGGACAGGGAAAGACAACCACTACACCACCTAGGTCTTAGAGCCAACTTTGTTGCATACGTAAGTGAAAAAAAATTCAGAGACAAAAGGTCAATGATAGCACTAAGATGAACAAATTAAACATTAAACATGCATTTTCGCACTTTCAGAATGGTTCCTTGATGTCATGCAGAAAACAGTTTAAAAACTGACTAAATACATGGAAAAATTTACATTTAGCCTGTCAGTGACTCTGACCATGAGACACTAGGCCAAGAGTCAAAGTGAATACTTAAGTCCAGTATTAACCAAAACAAGATACAGTTGTTGCTGGCAAAGACTAGTCTACAAACAGAATATAATATTTATAACATTTTTTTTTTGAGATGGAGTTTCGCTCTTGTTACCCAGGCTGGAGTGCAATGGTGCCCTCTCGGCTCACCGCAATCTCTGCCTCCTGGGTTCAGGAAATTCTCCTGCCTCAGCCTTCTGAGTAGCTGGGATTACAGGCACGCGTCACCATGCCCAGCTAATTTTTTGTATTTTTAGTAGAGACAGGGTTTCACCATGTTGACCAGAATGGTCTCGATCTCTTGACCTCGTGATCCACCCGCCTCAGCCTCCCAAAGTGCTGAGATTACAGGTGTGAGCCACCACACCCGGCCCAATATTTATAACATTTAAAGTCTAAGACTAAACAAAATTTTAACTTAAAAATGCTCTGGCACATATCTTTAAATCATAGTTCAGATATGAGAATTTACTTCTAAAAGCATTCACTACTGTAACTCAGAAGGAAATGATAAAAGAACCACAGGAAACTCCAACCAAAATCTAATGCTCTGTGATGACTATTTTATCTCTCTCTCACTCTTTTTTTAAATATCGGACCAACTTCTCAATTTGTGAGGGTGTTCTTTGGTTATGCCCTAAACATGTACTGAGTCTTTTTACTGAATAATTTAGCATAGACACTTTTATAGGCATCATTGAAAATATTTCAGATCTTAAAATCTGAAGGCAATCTTTCCAATTTATAAATATGGAACATAAGTGTATGTGGCCCCCCAAAAACAGTGAATCAATTTTTGTTCACCCCTTTCTCTATATGGAATATATATGTGAATATATTCATATCAGTGATATTATGAATGTATTTCCTCATGTAACAAGTTCCAACTTAATATATCCAATGTACTCCGTTAAAAAATGGATTCTGACATTTTTAGAGACTATTTTACATTTTTGACACATTTCCATGTCAAAATATGAGAGATCTGTTCACCAATGATAAAGATAAAATAGCATTTTTTTCTGATATATTTTTAAGAGACCCAAACAACTAAGTAGATAAATATTTTGAAGATTATGCTACTAATTGTCATTCTAAAATAAGTTCTAAGTTCATAGGTCCAGGCTTTGAAACAAATTTAGGTCTAAAATTGACCAATTATGAAATTTTATAGTTTATAATAAAGTCTAAATTTAACATGCCCATATTTCTTCAGGCTATTAGTATTATTATAAAACACATTTAAATAGCTGCACATAAAGTCTCAGTTAATGGATATTCATCTTATGCTTTATATTTTCCTTGATGAAAAATGTTCTTACCAGCAAGAGGAGGGCCAAGAAGAACTGGGCCACACTCCACAATTGTGACAAGTCCCACAGCACTGGAAAATCTTGGTGCACCCACGAGGTCCATGAGAGTTTCAAAGAGGACACTGCTAACACTCCCAAATCCAAGGCCAAAAAATACAGCATATAATATCAGGCTTGTGTAGTTCTGTGCCAGTGGGCACAAGAGATGACACACTCCATTGAACATGATTGCAAAACTGAAGAAGTACTGAATTCGAGGTCGAATATATTTGGAGTTTGCAATTAATCCTACAGAAGGCCTAGCAAACATATCAACAAAAGCCATAATAGAGAGCAGAAAAGCTGCAGAATACTCATCAATTCCCTGGTCTTTAGCATATGGAGCCAAGAATATAATGGGGGCAAAAAAACCTAGGAACATAATGACATTTCCAGACAGATATATCAGAAATCCTCTATGCTTAAAAAGGGAGAAATCTAAATATTTATTAACTTTTTCCCAAGTTGATTTCTGTGTTTTGATTTTCTTCAGGCCTGAATCATCTTCTCTTATGCCCGTGTTATTTTTAGACTTAGAAGTGGTTTGATTGGGCCCAAGGGGTCTCATGAGAGACCCAGCCACACAGGCATTCAAAAGTAGACCTCCCAAAATCAGGAAGCTTCCCTTCCAGCCAAAAGTATTAAAAAGGTACTGATTGAAAGGAGCCAATGAACTTAAGAAAACAGGACTTCCTGCCATGGCCAGTCCATTTGCCATGGGTCGTTTCCTATAGAAGTATTTGCCAATTATCGTTAAGGCCGGTTGCAGGTTGAAGGCTAAACCTAAACCTAAAAAAAAAAAAAAAAAAAAAGTGGGAGGAAACACAAACACATTATGACACTCACAAAATAAATTACTCCTCAAAATGTATATTCAAGTGGGAAAGGCAGAATTAAAAATGGAATATCAGATTATATATTTTGATTATTATAAATGTAATTGCACAAAAATAAAAAAGTTTTTATACCTGAACACTTGAAATGACAGCTTCATATTCCTTTAATTTTAAAGCACAGAAATAAAACTAAGAACTTCTACTGACAGATCAGCAATCATACAATAGGTTGAAACTAGGACAAAATTATTAGTTCTCAATTAAAATAATTTAATTCCACAGATCCTTTCCTTTTAACATATGCTTATATACACAAATATGGAACAGATTTCTTCCTTGTGAGCAAGAGGGCAATATAAAAAGGTGAATACTTTCCTTTTGGAGTTAAGAAGTATAAACAGACTAAAAAGGTAACAATTTGTAACAATCTTTCTTCTCCCCACAAACATTTCTTTCAATATTATGCAAATAACAAAAAGAATAATGAATGTATGCCATTAATTTCATGCTCTACATCCCTCACATTCCACATTTAATGTATATAGAAGAACATGTGTATTACTTAAAAAGGATTTTTTGTTTGAAACATAGTTTTAATTCAGGGATTAACACTGATTGTTTATATGAGCCAAAGGCCCCATTATCTAGGGAGCTCCCTGGCAGTGTTGAGTATCCCCTTTAGAAAATGAATTACCTCTTCGAGCTCACCAAGGTGCTACTGAGCGATTGTAATAAATAAGGTCGTTTAAAAAGTACATTGATTTACATAAAATTTGATTTATATAAAATATCTCCTGTTTTCCCTTAAACTAGGCATTACTCTATATTTATTTTAGGGGCTAGAGAGTTAAGAGTTCTTCTATATTTACTGATTTATCTAAATTGAAACAGTTCTGCAAAATGGTTAAGTATTCTAGTTGTGGAATACACAGGACTGTGTACTACAACCCTTTAATATAAACATTTTCTATAAATAAGAGGACCCCTAAAAGGTGACAAGAAAGAACAAGAACATGCTTTGGAGAGTTACAGGACACATGTTCTCTAACTCTACTTCAGCCATATCTGTGAGATATGCAGAATAAGTGTAATTAAATACAATTTATAAATAAATAAACTGACCAGCCTATGGTCAAGTAGCTTGTAAGTGGAAGAACCCAAACTAAAATCCAGGTGTTAGGTTTCAAAGCTTAAGGACTTTTATGTTACAGCATTTTCCCCATTCTGTCACCTAGAACTTTTGCCTTCAAATGTTAATCCACATTTTCATTTGGAAATAGTTGCCACCGTCTCTTTCTCTTTCTGGCATGGTAAAATGAACGTAGGCTTGAAATCAAAAGATATGATCTGCTCCAAATAAGTACCTATTTTGTATTATTGGGCAAAACACTTAGACTTCCTGAGCTCTAACTCACCTAACAACACAGAAAGATTTTGCCAAAATAAAGTAAGTTCTAGAACTTTAAGGTGTTATATAAATGGCACTGTGATTACTATTATTTGCAAACATTTATTTATGAACAGCAAAATTCTGGGCACTCTGTAAAGTACTATATATTCATTTTTTACATTAATCATCCTAATAACTCATTTTAAAAAGAGCTACTATTTATCTCATTTTACAGACAAAGAAACTTAGGTATAAGGAGGTTAGCGTACCCATGATTACACAGATAATATGCGCCAAGTCAAGTTTAAATGCTGGATCTGTCTACTTTTGGAAACCAAAGTATTTGCTGATTTAAAGTAAATCCCTCATAGATAGACTGAATAATTGACTTTGGGGGCATCAAAATATTTAAGAGCCAAAGAAATAAAATTATAAGTTGGAATAGCAATAATGCCAGTGATATTCGTAGTGCAGGGAAGAACAAAATCATCTTTTCCTTAATCATCTACTTGTAGGCCCATTCCGACTTCTACAGTCAAATGTAGTAGTCAGTATCTCCATACAACAGAAAAGGCACTCTCTCCACTATGACAATGCTTAGTATAAGAGGGTTTGCATTTACAAGATTAAATGTATTTTTCCATATCAAAAAACGAGAGAGATGTGGATAGATTGTAAAGAGAAAAATTTTAACATCACATTACTGTATGCTTCAATACATTTTTTTTTCATCAGATGATACATGAGTGTAAGATTACATGAGTGTAAATATTTTTGCCTTTTTATCTCTGGGCAGAAAGGAAAGATTCAGTCTCTTTACATATTGAAGTCTAATTTTTTCCTAAGATGTTGAATATAAATTTTTAATGCAATTTATTATTTAAACTCATAAAAATAGTACATTCCAAGTGTACATGTTATGGTCAGTTAGAATCAATAGGCATGTACATGAGAAGCAACTATAATGAAGTGACAGTAGGTCATCTGAAATACTTGTGTTAGAAGAAAATGTGGCTCACCAAGCTTTTAAACAGGATCATTTGAGTAAGAAAAAGAACAGGGTTAATGAACTTTACCACCAATCAGAACAAGCAACAATAATTTTACTGTTGAAGCTAAATCAGTGCATCCAGAAAAATCTCTTTGGCACAGTTTTAATATATTATGAGTGGAAAGTCAGATATTGGAAATGGAAATAAGTCATGAAAATAAGTTTTATATTAATGAAAGTATTTATTTATATCAAAAAGTCTGAGACCAACAACACTATCTCCATTGTGGAGTAAAAAGCGTAAAAGGCCAAAAAAAAAAACCACAAAAAACAAAAAACTAAAGTTGTTTTCTTTTTAAATTTGTATGATAACACGTAACTTGTCTGGTAACATTTTTTTTTTTTTCATTTTTTAAAAAAATGAAATGTTTGGCCATTATTTGGCTTGAATTTCAATGTACTAGATGAAAATACTTTAAAACAGCATTGTTTATAAAAAAGTAAATTAAAAGAAAATAAGAATTTTCTGTTGTTCATTTTTTTTCATAGAGTTTTGAAAATAGCAGAAGAGTTAAGAATAAGCTGAAGACCAAACAACTTACCTGTAATGAATCCCATAGTGATGTACAGCTGCACCACACTGCTACTGAAGGAGGCCAACACCATTCCAAGGCAGCATAGGAAGCCTCCTGCTATCACCACTGGCCGGCTGCCGTATTTATTCACCAAAACACTACTTATGGGGCCTACAGCAGAGAGGAGATTAAGAAATATTCAGTTACCGGGTCATTTCTTTGTTCATCTTTAACATCCAATCATTTGGAAAGGTGAGGAAGCACATTCTAATGGTCAGAGGAGAAAAATTAGTTCACATGAAATATAATGAGAACTTTTCAATATTTCACAAATGATCAGTTTGGCAGGTTCTTTGCAGTCATGTATAAAAGCCCATGAAATAATAAATTAGAAATGTTTAACATATATCTTTTGTAACCATAATCATTCAAATCTTAATGGAAAAGTTTTACAATAAAACATAGCTAAAATATCCAAAATATCTTAACAAATGCAGGTAAATTCATGTAACAAAAATCTAGGAATTACATAAATGACTTTTCTGATAAAATTTTATTTTTGAGGATAATGTATCTTAGAATAATGTGCCATTTATTAGGGCTGAACATTTTTTTAAATTATCTTCAGCAGTGATTTTTCTTCAATACCATAATTTGTTGATTCTAAGACCCTATTGTTTTCACATCCTATCATATTAGCAATAGGGGTGTCTTACATAGAATTACTCCTTCCAATCTATGTTCATCAAGAGGAAGTCATAGGTAGTAATGTTGTTATCCTGGCCTATGCATGTCTGAATTTGGTTGTTATTTCCTGTGTCTTGATTGGACAATGCTTAATCACATTTCAATAGAACCTTTGAAGGAGCATTTGAAAAATAAATATAAATATGAATCCTGATTTTTGCCTGAGAAATCTTCTGTTGACAAATTCTAGTAAGGTAGAGTAATTAGCAGCATCAAAACTTACAGATTGGGCGCAGCTGTTTGGATGAAATTACCAGAAAAAAAATGGTGAATCTCTCTGTTAAAATACATTGCACACTAACAAAGAGAATAATTTTAGGTGTGAGGTGCGAATGTTGAAAACTCAGACTCCAAAGTAGTTTAGAAGAGTCAGATAGTGAATGGGAAGAACTTGTAAGAATGCCTTACCAATTTTTTAATGTATATTTCCAATGTACCTCTGCGTGTGTGTATATATATAAAATATTCAGAAGTGACTAAAATTATTAAAATAATCTGCATTTAGGTCTAAAAAAGTTCTTTTGGTAGTTATAAAAGTTCTAAATGTTTGGAAAGTGTTAAGTTTTACTTCAGTGACAGCACTATTTTCTTTCTTGGTATACTATAAAATAACAGTGCAACTTAATAATTGAGACTCTTGGACTGAATGAAATTCCATAGTATTTTATGAGACTTGTCAATGTGTAAATGGCTTGCTTTGACAAATCATTCTTAACTTACAATTGTATCTCATCTGAAACTAGGGATACTATTTGGAGGACATAAATAACTACGTCAGGTCAGAATTTTCAGTCCAATATTTGACCTACAAAATATAGTAATTTTTTAGCTTATACTATGGCACTAAGAATTTCCAAGTGTATTGTATTTAAGAATTTTTACATGGATTGCATATAAAATAGATTGAGATTCATTTATCAATTCACCCATATCCTTTTACACAAATATAATTATTATTTTTATTCTGCAAACAAAATTTTGAAATTAAACCTTAGTACCTAATGGTATTTATTACTCCATAATATCTTCTGAAAGAATATTGGTAACAACACAAAATTTTAGAAAGATAACTTAAACACAGAATACAAAAGCTTGCATTTATGACAGCAAGCAACCTAAAACTTTGAAAAGGCGACATGAAAGCTTTTATGAAAGCTCCATAAAAACGACAGGATTTGGAGGGAGGAAATCAAAGAAAATTGTACAAGTTGTATAAAATGAATATAATTCTGTCTCTAACACGGTAAAGTTCACCTACAGAGCTGAAGAAAATAAATTATACATGCAGAGAATATATATAACACATATAAGACATATGTCGTAGACATTGCAGATGAGGTTCCAGAGAAACTCGATGAAGCAAATATTGCAATAAAATGAGTCACAAATTTTTTGGTTTCTCAGTGCATATAACAGTTATGTTTGCCCTTTACACACTATAGTCTATTACGTGTGCATAGGATTATATCTAAAAAGCAATGTGCATAACTTAATTAAAAATATTTTATTGCTAAAAAATGTTAATGATCATCTGAGCCTTCATTGATTCACAGTCTTTTTGTTGGTATTGTCTTGACTGTTGATAGCTGCTGACTGATCAGGGTGGTGGTTGCTAAAGGCTGGGGTAGCTGTGGCAATATTTTTGTTGTTGTTGAGACAGGGTCTTGCATTATCACTCAGGCTGGAGTGCAGTGAATGCAGAGTGCCTCATACATAGCTCACTGCAGCCTTGACCCCCTATGCTCTAGATCCTCCCTACTAAGCCTCCCCAGTAGCTGGAACCACAAGTGCGTGCCACCATGCCTGACTACTCTTTTATATATATATTTTTTGTAGAGATGGGGTCTTGCCGTGTTGCCCACACTGATCTTGAATTCCTGGGCTCAAGAGATACTCTCACCTCAGCCTCCACAAATGCTGGGATTATAGGTGTCAGCCATGGTACCTGGCTGGCAATTGCTTAAAATAAGACAAGTTTGCTGCATCAGTTGACTCTTCCTTTATTGCAAGATTTATTTGTAGCATGTGATGTCATTTGAAAGCATTTTACCCAATTAGAACTTCTTTCAAAATTGGAGTCAATTCTCTCAAACCTTGCCACTGCTTTATCAACTAAGTTTATGCAATATCCTAAATCTCTTGTAGTTATACCAACAATGTTTACAGCATTTTCATCAGGAGTAAATTATATTTCAAGAAACCACTTCCTTGGCTCATCCATAAGAAGCAACTCTTCCTTAATTCAAGTTTTATCATAAGATTGCAGCAATCTAGTCACATCTTCAGGCTCTACTTCTAATTCTAGTCCTCTTGCTATTTCCACCACATCTGTAGTTACTTACTTCACTGAAGTCTTGAACCTCTTAACATTATTTATGAGGGTTGAATTCAACTGCTTCCAAACTGTTAATGTTGGTATTTTGACCTCCTCCCATAAATCATAAATGATTGTAATGTTACATAGAATGGCAAATCCTTTCCAAAAGGTTTTCCATTTCCTTTGCCCTAGATCCATCAGAGGAATCACTATATATGGCAGCTGTGAGCTTACAAAATGTACTTAAATTTTAAGAATTGAAAGTTGAAATGACTCCTTGATCCATGAGCTGCAGAATGAATGTTGTATTAGCAGGCATAAAAACATTAACCTCCTTATACATCTCTATCAGAGCTCTTGGGTGACCCAGGTGCATTGTCAGTAAGCAGTACTATTTTGAAAGGAATTTTTTTTCTTAGCAGCAGGTCTCAACAGTGGGCTTAAAATATTCAGCGAACTATTCTGTAAACAAATATACTATTATACAGGTTTTGCTATTCCATTTGTAAAACACAGGTAGAGCACATTTGGCCTAATTATTAAGGGCCCCAGCATTTTTAGAATAGTAAATGAGCTTTGCTTCAACTTAAAGTCACCAGCTTCACTGGCCCCTAAAAAAGAGACTCAGCTTATTCTTTGATGCTTTGAAGACACCTGTAAAAACTTAGATGGCATCTACTTCCAATAGAAGGCTATTTCATCAACACTGACAATCTGTTGTTTAGTGTAGGCACCTTCACCAATGATCTTAGCTAGATCTTCAGGATAACTTGCTGCAGTTCCTAATCAGCATTTGTTGCTTCACCTTTCACTTTTATGTTAGCAAGATGGCTTACATCCTTAAACTTCATAAACCAACCTTTACAAGCTTCAAGGTTCTCTTTTGCAGGTTCTTCACCTTCAATGGAATTGAAGACAGTTACGGCCCTGCTCTGGATTAGGCTTTGGCTTAGGGAATGTTGTGGCTGCTTGATCTTGTATCCAAACTTCTAAAACGCTCTTCATTTTTCCTTTGCATTCACAACTTGGCTAATTTTAGTGCTAGAGACCTAGATTTCAGCCTCCCTGTGCTGTCAGCAGCTTTCTCATTAAGCTGAATCATTTCTAGCTTTTGATTTAAAATTAGAGACTTGTGACTCTTCCTTTCACTTAAACACCTAGAGGCCACTGTAGGTTTATTAAATGGCCTAATTTCAATATTGTTGTATCTCAGACAATAGAGAGACCCTAGGAAATGGGGAGAGATAGCAAAACAGCTGGTCTATGGAGTAGGGAGAACACACACAGCATTAAGCCCATCATCTTTTCTGAGACAGCAGAACAGTTCATGACACCCAAAACAATTATAATAGCAAGATCAAAGATAACCATAACAGACATAATAATAATAAACTTTGAAATACTGTGAGAATTACCAAATGTGACATAAGACACAAAGTGAGCACATGCTATTGAGAAAAATGATGCCAACAGAGTTACTGAAGTTAGGGTCTCCATAAACCTTCAATTTGTAATTAATGCAACATTTGCTAAGTGCTATAAAGTGAAGTGCAATAAGCGGAAGTATATATGTATTTTGGTTTCTCTATTTTTTACCTCTAAATGATAAAAGAGCAGTATAATTATTTGTCATTTGTTAGTTTTGGTAAATGTTTTTGATAAACTTCTCAGAAAGGCATAAGTTTATTGACTAGAAATAATATTTTTGTAAATGAGATGGTTTCCAATTTTCTGCTTTTCACAATATTGAGGGAAGATTCAATTGAATTGTCAGCCCACAGATCATTTCAAATAATTGTTAATAATAAATCATTATGTGATTTTGGTAAGTTCAAATAATTGACTAATATTGAACATAAAATACTTTCCACTGCCATCCACTTTATTATGTGAACAAGTTACTCAACATGTACATCAATTAAAAACCAAGAAAAAAACTAAAACCTGTATCTGCTTAGCTACACTAAGAAATATTCATCTATAGAAACACAGGATGCCTACTGAATTCATCAAAAGGCACATTTCCTTGGGAGGCTGAGGCAGGAGAATTGCTTGAACCTGTTAGATGGAGGTTGCAATGAGCCAGGAGGTGGAGATTGCAGTGAGC